AAACCTTCTCGAAGGCTCCAAATGTATTTTTTCAAAAATGTGAAACCTTCTCTGGGTTCCCAACTGTCTTTTTTAAAAATGTAAAACCTTCTCGAGGGCTCCAAATGTATATTTTTTTTAATGTAAAACCTTCTCGTGGGCCCCAACTGTCTTTGTTAAAAATGTAAAATCTTCTCGGGGGCTCCAAACGTATTTTTTTTTTTAATGTAAAACCTTCTCAGGGGTCTCAACTGTCTTTCTTTTTAATGTGAAACCTTCTTAGGGGTCCCCAAATGTCTTTCTTTTTAATGTGAAACCTTCTCAGGTGTCCCAACTGTTTTTTTTTTTTAATGTAGAACCTCCTCGGGGGCACCGAAGGTTTTTTTTAATGTAAAACCTTCTCGGGGCTCCAAACGTATTTTTGTAAGAATGTGAAATCCTCTCGGGAGCCCCAACTGTCCTTTTTAAAAATGTAAAACCTCGGGGGCGCCAAATGTATTTTTTTTACAATGTAAAACCTTCTCCGGGGTCCCAACTGTCTTTTTAAAAATGTAAAATCTTCTCGGGGGCTCCAACGGTCTTTTTTAAAAATGTAAAACCTTCTCGTTGGCGCCAAAGGTCTTTTTTTAACAATGTGAAACCTTCTCTGGGGTCCCAACTGTCTTTTTTAAAAATGTAAAACCTTCTCGGGGGCTCCAAACGTATTTTTTAAAAAATGTAAAACCATCTCGGGGACCTCAACTGTCTTTTTTTTTAATGTAAAACCTTCTCGAAGGCTCCAAATGTATTTTTTCAAAAATGTGAAACCTTCTCTGGGTTCCCAACTGTCTTTTTTAAAAATGTAAAACCTTCTCGAGGGCTCCAAATGTATATTTTTTTTAATGTAAAACCTTCTCGTGGGCCCCAACTGTCTTTGTTAAAAATGTAAAATCTTCTCGGGGGCTCCAAACGTATTTTTCTTTTTAATGTAAAACCTTCTCAGGGGTCTCAACTGTCTTTCTTTTTTATGTGAAACCTTCTTAGGGGTCCCCAAATGTCTTTCTTTTTAATGTGAAACCTTCTCAGGTGTCCCAACTGTTTTTTTTTTTTAATGTAGAACCTCGGGGGCAACGAAGGTTTTTTTTAATGTAAAGCCTTCTCGGGGCTCCAAACGTATTTTTGTAAGAATGTGAAATCCTCTCGGGAGCCCCAACTGTCCTTTTTAAAAATGTAAAACCTCGGGGGCGCCAAATGTATTTTTTTTACAATGTAAAACCTTCTCCGGGGTCCCAACTGTCTTTTTAAAAATGTAAAATCTTCTCGGGGGCTCCAACGGTCTTTTTTAAAAATGTAAAACCTTCTCGTTGGCGCCAAAGGTCTTTTTTTAACAATGTGAAACCTTCTCTGGGGTCCCAACTGTCTTTTTTAAAAATGTAAAACCTTCTCGTGGGTCCCAACTGTCTTTTTTAAAAATGTAAAACCTTCTCGGGGGCTCCAAACGTATTTTTTTAAGAATGTGAAACCTTCTCGGGAGCCCCAACTGTCTTTTTTAAAAATGTACAACCTTCTCGGGGGCGCCAAAGGTCTTTTTTTAACAATGTGAAACCTTCCCGGGGTCCCCAAATGTCCTTTTTTTTAAATATGAAACCTTCTCAGGGGCCCCAACTGTCTTTTTTAAAAATGTAAAACCTTCTCGGGGGCTCCAAACGTATTTTTTAAAAAATGTAAAACCTTCTCGGGGACCTCAACTGTCTTTTTTTTTAATGTAAAACCTTCTCGAGGGCTCCAAATGTATATTTTTTTTAATGTAAAACCTTCTCGTGGGCCCCAACTGTGTTTGTTAAAAATGTAAAACCTTCTCGGGGGCTCCAAACGTATTTTTTTTAAATGTAAAACCTTCTCGGGGGCTCCAAACGTATTTTTTTAAAAATGTAAAACCTTATCTTGGGGACCTCAACTGTCTTTTTTTTAATGTAAAACCTTCTCACGGGTCTCAACTGTCTTTCTTTTTAATGTGAAACCTTCTTAGGGGTCCCCAAATGTCTTTCTTTTTAATGTGAAACCTTCTCAGGTGTCCCAACTGTTTTTTTTTTTAATGTAGAACCTCCTCGGGGGCACCGAAGGTTTTTTTTAATGTAAAACCTTCTCGGGGCTCCAAACGTATTTTTGTAAGAATGTGAAATCCTCTCGGGAGCCCCAACTGTCCTTTTTAAAAATGTAAAACCTCGGGGGCGCCAAATGTATTTTTTTTACAATGTAAAACCTTCTCCGGGGTCCCAACTGTCTTTTTAAAAATGTAAAATCTTCTCGGGGGCTCCAACGGTCTTTTTTAAAAATGTAAAACCTTCTCGTTGGCGCCAAAGGTCTTTTTTTAACAATGTGAAACCTTCTCTGGGGTCCCAACTGTCTTTTTTAAAAATGTAAAACCTTCTCGGGGGCTCCAAACGTATTTTTTAAAAAATGTAAAACCATCTCGGGGACCTCAACTGTCTTTTTTTTTAATGTAAAACCTTCTCGAAGGCTCCAAATGTATTTTTTCAAAAATGTGAAACCTTCTCTGGGTTCCCAACTGTCTTTTTTAAAAATGTAAAACCTTCTCGAGGGCTCCAAATGTATATTTTTTTTAATGTAAAACCTTCTCGTGGGCCCCAACTGTCTTTGTTAAAAATGTAAAATCTTCTCGGGGGCTCCAAACGTATTTTTCTTTTTAATGTAAAACCTTCTCAGGGGTCTCAACTGTCTTTCTTTTTTATGTGAAACCTTCTTAGGGGTCCCCAAATGTCTTTCTTTTTAATGTGAAACCTTCTCAGGTGTCCCAACTGTTTTTTTTTTTAATGTAGAACCTCGGGGGCAACGAAGGTTTTTTTTAATGTAAAGCCTTCTCGGGGCTCCAAACGTATTTTTGTAAGAATGTGAAATCCTCTCGGGAGCCCCAACTGTCCTTTTTAAAAATGTAAAACCTCGGGGGCGCCAAATGTATTTTTTTTACAATGTAAAACCTTCTCCGGGGTCCCAACTGTCTTTTTAAAAATGTAAAATCTTCTCGGGGGCTCCAACGGTCTTTTTTAAAAATGTAAAACCTTCTCGTTGGCGCCAAAGGTCTTTTTTTAACAATGTGAAACCTTCTCTGGGGTCCCAACTGTCTTTTTTAAAAATGTAAAACCTTCTCGTGGGTCCCAACTGTCTTTTTTAAAAATGTAAAACCTTCTCGGGGGCTCCAAACGTATTTTTTTAAGAATGTGAAACCTTCTCGGGAGCCCCAACTGTCTTTTTTAAAAATGTACAACCTTCTCGGGGGCGCCAAAGGTCTTTTTTTAACAATGTGAAACCTTCCCGGGGTCCCCAAATGTCCTTTTTTTTAAATATGAAACCTTCTCAGGGGCCCCAACTGTCTTTTTTAAAAATGTAAAACCTTCTCGGGGGCTCCAAACGTATTTTTTAAAAAATGTAAAACCTTCTTGGAGGCCCCAACTGTCTTTTTTAAAAATGTAAAACCTTCTCAGGGGCGCCAAAGGTATTTTTTTTTAATGTAAAACCTTCTCAGGGGCTCCAAACGTATTTTTAAAAAAATGTAAAACCTTCTCGGGGACCTCAACTGTCTTTTTTAAAAATGTAAAACCTTCTCGAGGGCTCCAAATGTATATTTTTTTTAATGTAAAACCTTCTCGTGGGCCCCAACTGTCTTTGTTAAAAATGTAAAACCTTCTCGGGGGCTCCAAACGTATTTTTTTTTAAATGTAAAACCTTATCTTGGGGACCTCAACTGTCTTTTTTTTAATGTAAAACCTTCTCAGGGGTCTCAACTGTCTCTCTTTTTAATGTGAAACCTTCTTAGGGGTCCCCAAATGTCTTTCTTTTTAATGTGAAATCTTCTCAAGTGTTCCAACTGTTTTTTTTTTTAATGTAGAACCTTCTCGGGGGCACGGAAGGTTTTTTTTTAACAATGTAAAACCTTCTCCGGGGTCCCAACTGTCTTTTTAAAAATGTAAAATCTTCTCGGGGGCTCCAACTGTCTTTTTTTAAAAATGTAAAACCTTCTCGTTGGCGCCAAAGGTCTTTTTTTAACAATGTGAAACCTTCTCTGGGGTCCCAACTGTCTTTTTTAAAAAATGCAAAACTTTATCTTGGGGACCTCAACTGTCTTTTTTTTAATGTAAAACCTTCTCAGGGGTCTCAACTGTCTTTCTTTTTAATGTGAAACCTTCTTAGGGGTCCCCAAATGTCTTTCTTTTTAATGTGAAACCCTCTCAGGTGTCCCAACTGTTTTTTTTTTTTTTAATGTAGAACCTTCTCGGGGGCACCGAAGGTTTTTTTTAATGTAAAACCTTCTCGGGGCTCCAAACGTATTTTTGTAAGAATGTGAAATCCTCTCGGGAGCCCCAACTGTCTTTTTTAAAAATGTAAAACCTTCTCGTTGGCGCCAAAGGTCTTTTTTTAACAATGTGAAACCTTCTCTAGGGTCCCAACTGTCTTTTTTAAAGATGTAAAACCTTCTCGAGGGCTCCAAATGTATATTTTTTTTAATGTAAAACCTTCTCGTGGGTCCCAACTGTCTTTGTTAAAAATGTTAAACCTTCTCAGGGACGCCAAAGGTCTTTTTTTAACAATGTGAAACCTTCCCGGGGTCCCCAAATGCCCTTTTTTTAATATGAAACCTTCTCAGGGGTCCCAACTGTCTTTTTTAAAAATGTAAAACCTTCTCGAGGGCTCCAAACGTATTTTTTTAAGAATGTGAAACCTTCTCGGGAGCCCCAACTGTCTTTTTTAAAAATGTAAAACCTTCTCGGGGGTCCCAAATGTATTTTTTTTGAGAATGTAAAACCTTCTCGAAGACCCCAACTGTCTTTTTAAAAATGTAAACCTTCCCGGGGGCCCCAAATATATTTTTTTTACAATGAAACCTCGGGGATACCAACTGTCTTTTTTAAGAACGTTCTATCGAAATAACTTTCGACCAATTTTTTATTACTAAAGGTCGAAAAACACCCGACGGACTGGATTACAACACTTCCTTAGCTTACCCTCGCAAACCAAAAACTTACCAGACACAGCGGTCAGGAACACCAACCCCTTGCACGTGTGCGCGACCATCCGAAACTTCCTCGACGCCTTGATCGCATTTTTACTGGCGTTAGTAATGGTTTCGGCTGGTAAAAGATGGTCGAGACCGGACCACAGGAAAAGCGTGTACAGGACAAAAGCGAGACTCAGATGGGCCGCTAGCCGGTACTGCGACACTCTGGGCACGTCGCTTTCGCCGTGAAAGCGGTCCTCAAGCCCCGACTTTACCATGTACCAACCCATGAGACCTTGAGCGCCGATTAAAGCACCGAAGGCCACCACCCGCTTTTTCATCGCTGGCGTGAACATGCCACGGGACCAGAAATATACAGCGGGTAGCAGAAAAACGGCGCCGATGGCGCGCCCCCACATCCGATGACCGAATTCCATGTACCAGATCCACTTGAACTCGGACAGCGTCATTTCTTTGTTTTTGCTGCAAAGGCGAGGTTTGATTGAGAGGAAAACAAAGATAGTTGCAGAATTTCAATAAAATAAAAAACAACTGCGTTGTTTTCCTCTCTGGAGTTCTATGCAAAGCTTCGTGTTTTATGTACAGCACAAGCAAATCGACAAAATTACGTACATTTTGAACTCTGGATACTGTTGGTACTTTTTAAATTCCTCTTCCCACTCTTTTTCGTTCGTGGGCATTTTCTCTCCTAGCAGTTTCCACGTGACCATGGACAACCCGGACTCAGTAAGACGCGTAACGCCACCTATAAGTCAACTTTGAAAACTTTTTCAAAATTTATAAATAAAATACGTCTTACTACATTAAATATTTTATTAGTTTAAAATACTGCCATTTGCGTAATAAATAGTTCAGTTCGTTTGAAATAAACTTAATTTATTTTCCAGCGTTCTTCAAAAGTTCCTCCAGAATTGTATAGATGCTATTTAGGATAAAAAAATAAATGACTGTAATACCTAGGACTACTGCGACGAAGATCATCCCGCTGCACGAAACCAACCAGTACCCGATCCCCTTTTTTCCCTTCTGAGGAATGTTTGAACTCAGTCTCACAATTACGGAACCACAGGATTTAAAAAAATTGGCATTCTGAAACGAAATTATTCAAGATTAAAACGAGATTGTGGGAAAAATAAATAGTACCTTAATCACATTGGCAAGTGGCTGTCGTCTCCACACTGGATTCATGTACGTTCTAACTACGCCATTTCGTGGTAAACTCCGAGTGGTAACCCCCAGAAGTTGTTTCGTTTGGGGGAGAAACATCGCCGACCGACACTGTCTAGCCAGACTCAACATATTGCTAATAATTTACTGAAACAAAAAATGTAACCTCAACTATTAAAGTATGACTAAATGAATCATCAGATTTCACAATAATTTAAAAGTAACTTCTGACCAATAACAGTAATACGTGTCTTAGGTTAAGTAATAAGTAACGCCGACTTAAGTTTGTTTACTCATAAGTGGGGTTATATCCGATATCAATGTTTTTCGTCGCATGAAAATAAATCGCAACATTTCCACTGATAACATAACCTGATAATGATAAAGAGCTACAACGTCTAACTTCGTGCTTAAAATAGTGTTCAAACCATGGGTGAAACAAACACTTCCAAAACCTCAATTAGACAAATTTTCGAAACTATGGAATACGGCAACGACTTCGAAAGCGTCGCCCCAGTGACCGTAAGTCTCATTGGTTTCATTATTTCAACAACACCCCCAACTAATACTGTGTAGGAATGGCTGAAAAAACGCGAAAACCGAATTTTCGCCTACATTGACAAGAAAAACGAAACCCCGACTGGCGAAATAGTCCCCGTTAAAAACACGACGAACGACCAGCATTTATGCGACGTCCACGTCCCCGACGCAACCACAGTAGACACAATTTTAAAAAAATCAGCCAATGCGAAAAATACATGGAAAGATATACCAGCTGCAAAAAGAGCCGAGATTATTTACAAGTAAGTGGTACTTGAAGCGATAATCGAGCTATAATAATTTTTATCAGATTGGGTAACGAGATACAGAAAAAACAAGAACTGATCACACTGATTGAAGTAGCAGCCCGGGGGATTCTGAGCAAAGACACGAAAAATAAATTGCCACTACTTACCGACTGCTTGGTGTACTATTCAGGCTTTAGTGTGAAGTACAGCGTCGAAAACCCCTCATTTAGTGCCACAGGTGAGCAAAAAGTGCGTTTTTTGTGTGGCCGGTTCAGCATTCGGGAGACATAACCTCACTTCAGAGCGCACTTGTTGAATGACATCTAGCGATGAATTTACGGATTTTTGGGGTAGAAATGTGAAAAAACGTCTATAAATAGGCGCTGTCGTTGCATATGTTATGAAAAAGGCGTTCACTGAGTGTTTAAAATTAAATTTGTGGCTGGTTGTAGTATCATAGATTAATATAGATGCGACATAGAGGCTGATTTTGCAAAACCACCCTTATTGACATTGGCCAAAGATAAGCGCCAAATTTAAATAGTCGATCCCAATTAAAAAACTTGTTTCACTACAACTCGTCGTCTGAGAACTTGTTTGATGTACAGACCAGAGCGGGCTCAGGCCAATGTCGACTCTAAGCGTTCAGGACCGATTCGGTGGGTTTGGACTATAATTTCTGCGGGAAATAGTTGTTTGGTCGGTTTTTATAACGACTATAAGTGAATATTTTTGGTACATATTTAGATGATTTTACATATTTTGTTTAACTAAGAATTAATTCTTTATTTGTGTTTTATACTAGTAAAACGTCTTAAACTAAGAATATTGTTGAAATTGCAATAACCCAATGGAATTTTTTCGGGAAAATGTTTTGGAAACACTGTGTCCTATTTTCTATGAATTTTTAAATGTTTTTAGTGACAATTTTTGTGTGATATTAACAGTGAGAAAAAAAAATGAAAAATAAAAATAATCGAAAATTCGAACAATGGAGAAATCTAATAATAGAAAAACTGAAAGATTGAAAAATCGAAATATCGAAGAACTGAAAATCGAAAAATGAAACATCAGAAAATCGAAAAAAGTACAACTCAAAAATATAAAATTTAAAAACCGAATAACGAAAAATAAAGAAATCGAAACTCCCAAATTTAAAAAATCGGGTAACTGAAAAATCGAAACATCGAAAAACTGGAAAATCGAAAAACCGAGAAATCGAAAAATCAAAAGATCAAGAAATCATGGAGTCGAAAAGTTAAAAATTAAACAATTTATAAATTGAGAAATTGACAATCAAAATATCGAAAATTTCAAATCTCGATAAATCGAGAAATGAAAAAACTTAAAAATTCGAAAGATCGAAAAATTGAAAGATTGAAAGATCAAAAGAACGAGAAATCGAAAAATAGAGAAATCGACTAACAAAAAGTTAAAAGTAGAAAAATTGGAAAAGCGGAAAAATCAAAAAACGAAAAAATGGAAAACTGGAAAATCTGAGAAACCGAAATAGGCCAAAATAAAAAATTGAAAAACTGATAAATCGAAAACCTGAACAATCAAATCTCGATAAATCGGGAATGAAAAATTAACAAATCGAAAAATTGAAAAACAGAACATCTAAAATCAGGAAGTCGAAAAATAGAAAGATTAAGAAATATTGAAAAATTAAAACATCGAAAGTTTGAAAAATCTAAAATTGAAAAATCCAAAAATTGTAAAACCGAAAAAGTAAAAAGGTTGACACATCGAAAAACCCAGAAGTCAAAAATAGAAAAGCCAAAGAATTGAAATATTGAAAAATCCTAAAACCGAAATATCTAAAAACTGAAAAATCGAAAAATTAAAAAAGTGAAGTCGAAATATAGAAACCTTAAAAAATCGAAAAATTGAAAAATTAAAGAATTGAAGAACAGGAAAATGAAAACATCGATTAATTGAAAAATCGAAAAATTGAGAATTGATAAAAGTCAAATTTGAAAAATTAAAAAATCCAAAATTTGACAAAATAACAATTGAAAAACACAAAATCTAAAACCAGGAAGTCGAAAAAGCGAAAGATCAAGAAATTGAAACATTTGAAAAATTCGAAAACTTGAAAAATTGAAATATCGTAAAACTGAAATGAAAAATCGAGAAATCGAAAAATCTAAAAAAATTTAAAAATCTAAAAATTGAAAAATCGAAAAAGTAAATCGACACATCGAAAAATCCAGAAGCAAAAAATCGAAAAGTCGAAAAATCAAAATATTGAAAAATCCCTAAACTGAAATATCGAAAAACTGAAAAATGGAAAACCTGAAAAATCCGAAAACTGAAATATCCAAAAACTGAGAACCTAAAAAGTCGAAAAATTGAGCAATAGATAAATCCAAATAGTGAAGTCGAAAATTTGAAACCTTAAAAAAATAAAAAAATTAAAAATCAAAAATCTGAAAAATCGAAAAATTAAAGAATTGAAGAACAGGAATATCGAAACCCTCGAAAGTCAAGACAAGAAATGGGAAAATCAAAACATCGATTAATTGAAAAATCGAAAAATTGACAGTTTGTAAATGTCAAATTTGAAAAATTAAAAAATCGAAAATTTGAAAAAACGACAATTGAAAAACAGAAAATCTAAAACCGGGAAGGCGAAAAATCGATTGATTAAGAAATCAAAACATTTGAAAAATTCGAAAACATGAAAAACAGAAATATCGAAGAACTGAAATGAAAAATCGAGAAATCGAAAAATCGAAAATTTTATATCTTGAAAAATGAAAATATCCAAAAACTGAAAAATCTAAAATCTAAAAACCGAACAATTGAAAAATCGACAATTGAAGAACAGAAAATCTAAACCCGGGAAGTCGAAAAATCGAAAGATTTGAAAAATTTAAATATGGAAGAGCTGAAATGAAAAATCGACAAATCGAAAAATCAAAAATTTTAAATATTGAAAAATTAGAATACCAAAAAATTGAGAAATTTAAAATTTAAAAATCGAAAAAGTAAAAAGTCGACACATCGAAAAATCCAGATGTCAAAAATGGAAAAGTCGAAGAACAGAAATATTGAAAAATCCCAAAACTGAAATATCGAAAAAGTGAAAAATGAAAGAAAAACTGAAATATCCAGAAACTGAGAATCTAAAGAATCGAAAAATTGAGAATCAAAAAAGTGAAGTCAAAATATCGAAACTTTTAAAAAATCGAAAAATTGAAAAATCAAAAACCTGAAAAATTAAAGAATTGAAGAACAGGAAAATGGAAACACTGGAAGGTCAAGAAATGGGAAAATCAAAACATCGATTAATTGAAAAATCGAAAAATTGAGGGTTGATAAAAGTCAAATTTGAAAAATTAAAAAATCCAAAATTTGACAAAATAACAATTGAAAAACACAAAATCTAAAACCGGGAAGTCGAAAAAGCAAAAGATCAAGAAATCGAAACATTTGAAAAACTTAAAATTGAAATATCGTAAAACTGAAATGAAAAATCGAGAAATCGAAAAATCTAAAAAAATTTAAAAATCTAAAATTTAAAAATCTAAAAATTGAAAAATCGAAAAAGTAAATCGACACATCGAAAAATCCGGGAGTCAAAAATCCCAAAACTGAAATATCGAAAAACTGAAAAATGAAAGAAAACTTAAAAATTGGAAACTTAAATCGGGAAATCAAAACATTGAAAAATCGAAAAATTTAACGACAATTGAAAACAGAAAATCTAAAACCGGGAAGTCGAAAAATCGAAAGATTAAGCAATCGAAAAATTGAAAAATCAAAAAAGTGAAAAAAGCGACACATCGAAAACTCCAGAAGAAGAAAATCGAAAAGTCGCAGAATCAAAATATTGAAAAATCCCTAAACTGAAATATCGAAAAACTGAAAAATGGAAAACTTGAAAAATCCGAAAACTGAAATATCCAAAAACTGAGAACCTAAAAAGTCGAAAAATTGAGCAATAGATAAATCCAAAAAGTGAAGTCGAAAATTGAAACCTTAAAAAACTAAGAAAATCAAAAATCAAAAACCTGAAAAATCGAAAAATTAAAGAATTGAAGAACAGGAATATGGAAACCCTCGAAAGTCAAGACAAGAAGTGGGAAAATCAAAACATCGATTAATTGAAAAATCGAAAAATTGACAGTTTATAAATGTCAAATTTGAAAAATTAAAAAATCGAAAATTTGAAAAAACGACAATTGAAAAACACAAAAATCTAAAACCGGGAAGTCGAAAAATCGATTGATTAAGAAATCAAAACATTTGAAAAATTCGAAAACATGAAAAACGGAAATATCGAAGAACTGAAATGAAAAATCGAGAAATCGAAAAATCGAAAATTTTATATCTTGAAAAATTAAAATATCCAAAAACTGAAAGATCTAAAATTTAAAAACCGAAGAATTGAAAAACAGAAAATCTAAAACCGGGAAGTCAAAAAATCGAAAGATTAAGAAATCGAAACATTTGAAAAATTGAAATATGGAAGAGCTGAAATGAAAAATCGACAAATCGAAAAATCAAAAATTTTAAATATTGAAAAATTAGAATACCAAAAAATTGAGAAATTTAAAATTTAAAAATCGAAAAAGTAAAAAGTCGACACATCGACAAATCCAGATGTCAAAAATGGAAAAATCGAAGAACAGAAATATTGAAAAATCCCAAAACTGAAATATCGAAAAACTGAAAAATGAAAGAAAAACTGAAATATCCAGAAACTGAGAATCTAAAGATTCGAAAAATTGAGAATCAAAAAAGTGAAGTCAAAATATCGAAACCTTAAAAAAATCGAAAAATTGAAAAATCAAAAACCTGAAAAATTAAAGAATTGAAGAACAGGAAAATGGAAACACTGGAAGGTCAAGAAATGGGAAAATCAAAACATCGATTAATTGAAAAATCGAAAAATTGAGAGTTGATAAAAGTCAAATTTGAAAAATTAAAAAATCGAAAATTTGACAAAATAACAATTGAAAAACACAAAATCTAAAACCGGGAAGTCGAAAAAGCAAAAGATCAAGAAATCGAAACATTTGAAAAATTCGAAAACTTGAAAAATTGAAATATCGTAAAACTGAAATGAAAAATCGAGAAATCGAAAAATCTAAAAAATTTTAAAATCTAAAATTTACAAATCTAAAAATTGAAAAATCGAAAAAGTAAATCGACACATCGAAAAATCCAGGAGTCAAAAATCCCTAAACTGAAATATCGAAAAACTGAAAAATGAAAGAAAACTTAAAAATTGGAAACTTAAATCGGGAAATCAAAACATTGAAAAATCGAAAAATTTAAAACGACAATTGAAAACAGAAAATCTAAAATCGGGAAGTCGAAAAATCGAAAGATTAAGCAATCGAAAAATTGAAAAATCAAAAAAGTGAAAAAAGCGACACATCGAAAACTCCAGAAGCAAAAAATCGAAAAGTCGAAGAATCAAAATATTGAAAAATCCCAAAACTGAAATATCGAAAAACTGAAAAATGGAAAACCTGAAAAATCCGAAAACTGAAATATCCAAAAACTGAGAACCTAAAAAGTCGAAAAATTGAGCAATAGATAAATCCAAAAAGTGAAGTCGAAAAATTGAAACCTTAAAAAAATAAGAAAATCAAAAATCAAAAACCTGAAAAATCGAAAAATTAAAGAATTGAAGAACAGGAATATGGAAACTCTCGAAAGTCAAGACAAGAAATGGGAAAATCAAAACATCGATTAATTGAAAAATCGAAAAATTCACAGTTTATAAATGTCAAATTTGAAAAATTAAAAAATCGAAAATTTGAAAAAACGACAATTGAAAAACAGAAAATCTAAAACCGGGAAGTCGAAAAATCGAAAGATTTGAAAAATTGAAATATGGAAGAGCTGAAATGAAAAACCGACAAATCGAAAAATAAAAAATTTTAAATATTGAAAAATTAGAATACCAAAAAATTGAGAAATTTAAAATTTAAAAATCGAAAAAGTAAAAAGTCGACACATCGAAAAATCCAGATGTCAAAAATGGAAAAGTCGAAGAACAGAAATATTGAAAAATCCCAAAACTGAAATATCGAAAAAGTGAAAAATGAAAGAAAAACTGAAATATCCAGAAACTGAGAATCTAAAGAATCGAAAAATTGAGAATCAAAAAAGTGAAGTCAAAATATCGAAACCTTAAAAAAATCGAAAAATTGAAAAATCAAAAACCTGCAAAATCGTAAGATCGAAAAACCGAATAATAAGTAAACTGAAAAAACGCAAAACTGAAATGTCCAAAAACTGAGAAACTAAAAAATTGAGAAATCGAAAACTCAAAAAAGTGAAGTTGAAAAATCGAAACCTGAAAAAATAGGAAAATTGAAAAACCAAAAAACTCAATTAATTGAAAAATCGACAAATAAAGAGTTTATAAAAGTCAAAAATTGAAAAATCGAAATATTTAAAAATCGTAAAATTGAAGAGAAAAACTGAAAACCGAGAAATTGAAAAATTGAGAAATTGTAAAATTGAGAAATTGTAAAATCCAAAAATTGAATAATATGAGATCACGAAACGCTAGAGTCGACATTGGCCTGAGTGCGCTCTGGTCTGTAGATCAAACAAGTTCTCAGACGACGAACTGTAATTTATGTGACCTGAATTAAAGTGAAAAAACACTGTTGTCAACATAAGTCGAGGGGTCCTCAACCGTCATTTAATTTAAACTATGACGCTTCTCTATGTTCTCTGATTGAGTGATTAAATTTGTGGCTAGTTGTATTACTTTGGGGTTATGGTGGTTGGCAGCACTGAACGCGCCTTAATTCGATTTGAATGTTTCAGGACTAGCAGTGGGTGTTTTCCCAGATTCCAGTGCACTATGGACTTTGGGTTACATTCTGGGGCCTTGTTTGGCTGCGGGTCGTCAGATTGTTCTTCAAACCGGGCCGCGATTCAGTTTAGTCGCAACTGTATTGATAGAAATGGCTGGTCAATTAGGGTATAACACCATGTATAGACGTTGAGATTCTATAATGGGGATTTTTAGTGTCCCTGAAGGTACCATAAGGCTAATACCGGGAAAGATCAACCCCGACAACTTCTTTGTCCACTCTAGCGTGTCCACGGTCTCTATTTTTGATGACCTACACAAGGAACGATATTTATTTGCCAACCATTTTGGCAAGAAACTTCTCCATTTTGGTGCTTCAGGTGCTTCAATGGTGGTTTTTGACGGTTGTGACTTGGATTCGGCTTGTCACAGTGTTGCAGATGCCGCTTTTGGAACGAAGGGAACGGTATTTCAGTATTTATCACTTGTATATAAATAAGAATAAAAAATTTGTAGCTCCCGTGGTCTGTAAGAAATATTTTCGTTCAAGAGAATATTTTCGACAGTTTTATCCACAAGCTCAAACACAACGTGGCGTCCTTAAAAATTGGCAAATCTAACGAAAGAAATGTGGATATTTCAATCCCAGACAACACAGTTCTGGATAAAGTTAAGCGAGTCGTGGTTGAAGCACAAAATCAGGGAGTCGAGGTGTTTCAACCAGACCCTGATAACGCCATTCCTACAGTTTTAATCGGTGCCAACGTCTTCCCTAATAACGTTATCAAAGAAGATTTTATTAATGTTCCAGTCGTTACTGTAGTGTCTTTTAGAACTGTCAACGAAGCGGTGAATTTATCCAACAATACACGACAAGGCTTAGGGGTATCCGTTTGGAGCGAGAGCACCAGTCTTATCAACGAAATCATCGGAAAATTGAAAGTAAGTAGTTTAAATTTGGCGCTTAATTTGGTTGAGTGTGACGTCAACATCATTATTATGCTACTTTTGTATTTGTACTCAAGGCCGGAAATGTATGGATCAACTCGCACGGTCTTTTCGCCCCCAACATCGCCACGTCGCCTTACAAAACCAGCGGAAACGCTTTTTTCGGAGGCAACGAAGGCTTTTACGAGTACGTCGAAACCAAATCGCTGAAAACTGAAAGCGGGTCACAAATCCAGAACAAGAACGCTATGGAGCAAGCCATCACCGAAGCAAAGAAGGCTCAAGACAGCTGGTCGAAGCTCAGTCGACTCGAAAGAACGAAGCTTCTCCAAGTCGTACCCCACAATATCACCACCAACTCGAGCTTGGAAAAGTGGACGGATCAGTGGGTAACTTTAATCTACGACTGCGGGTTAAGTAATTCCGGAGAGAACTTCATCAAGTTTAGAAATTTCAACGTCGCGGCGACTCGGGAACCGTGCGGGGTCATCGCTATTGAAACTCCGGAAGGTAAAGATGACCACAACAAACGACTGATTGTTGCTGCTTTGAATGAAGGGAACGCGGTGATTATTTTGAATGATTGTGGCGAAACGAGCGAGTTTTATAGTAAGGTTTCGAAATTGCTGCCGAAAGGAGTACTTACGGTGCTTAGTCACAGTCAAGAGGCGACGAAGGTCGCAGCTTTACACAAGGAGTTGAGTGTGTACTTTGGAGAGAAGCACAATCGAGTGTTTTTCTCGCTACCTTTGAAAACCTCGAGCAAATTCAAAATGGCTGGTTCTGGTAGTTGGAACGACGTACGTGATAAAGTCACCCTGACTAAGAACGTGTGGCTGAACAAGGGGCAATCGTTCATTTGATTTATGTTAATCTTTCAAGAATATAAAAGACTTTTCTGTGTGTTAATGCTTTATTGACTCGTTATTCCAAACATAGAGTGCGCACAAAAATACTGACTACTTTATAGGGATCTGCATTGGCTGGAACGCGCATGTCTTCAAAGTACCCCTTTTTATCCATCTCCACTTTCTTAGGGATTCGGACACACCCAGTCCTGTCGGCAACCCCCCACCTAAACGTCGAATGGTCTCCATCCAGCTGCTTATTATGACACCCCCGAATGTCGTACACATCCATATGTTTTTCGTGCTCAGTCGCCAACTTCTTCATCGCCTCTTCCATAAACTTGTACCCACCTTCATTCCTCATCTCCTTCGTGGAAAATTTCGTATGACAACCAGACCCCTTCCAACTCGGGTACAACTTAGGCTCAAACGACACAACAACACCAAAGATCTCCCCAATCCGCTGCAAAAAGTACCTTAGAATCCAGAGCTCGTCCGCGGCTCTGATTCCCGCCGTGGGTTCCAACCCAACTTGCCATTGCGAAGGTACCACGGCTGGGTGTGACGCCCCCAGTTCTAACCCGGAGTACAAGCAGCATCTGCACACGCATTCGATGAGTTCGCGTCCGAGGGCTTTATCGGCTCCTACGGAGTAACAGTGGGACTCGGTAGGACAAGGGTAGCCCAGCTGTTTGGGCCAGCCGAAGGGCCGTTTGTCGGCGTCCATGAACATGCACGTCTGCTTGAACCCGAACCTGGGTTCTTTGTCGCAGACTTGGTTTAAGAATGTCATGCAACAGTGGCGGGAGTTGCTTTTCGTGGGTTTGCCGTCGCTGGTGTAGGTCTCACACAGGACGAGTTTGTTGGTGCCGCGCTGAAAAGGGTCGTTGTAGAGGGCGATGGGGCACAGGATGATGTCGGAGTGTTTGGGGTCGTCGGCGAGGAAGGTGGTACTGCCGTCGAAGTCCCAGTTAGGGCACTCTTTGTACGAGTTGGGGGTGAAATCGAGAATTCGGTTTTTGGCTCGTAAGTTTTCGCCGGTTCCGTCGATCCAGATGTATGTAGCCTGGACTTTACAGTTAGCGATGGGGAGGTTTGAGAACCTGTCCCAGACTTTTTTGCTGATTTTCCAATTGGGTGACCATTCTAGATGGATGGACCGGGATAGGAGTTTACACACGATTTGGATGTTGCGATTTAGAAATTTCATCCTGAGTGTACAGTAAATTGAAAAATGTCACGTCTAGTCATGTCAGTGTCAAGAAAAAGCCAGGTTTCTTTGATTGTGTCAAAAATTGCCAAGATAGAACCACGGCCAACTGTATTAATTGTAGCAATTTGATCACAAAAAAATACACCTTATAAACTCAAATCCATAAGGTTGTAACCACTCCCTAGTGTAAATTTTAAAAAATTATTCAGTGTAAATCTGTCTTTTAGTAGCCTGGTGACATATCTGGTGACCTGTCAATATAATGTCAGTTCATTCATGTATTCGCGACACATGATTACGTTCGACTTCACTGCAATTCTTGCACTCCTGCACAGGTTATTTCATAATTATCATTGTAACTTGTCGCAATATTGTAAAAATTGATAAACAATTTTCAGTGAAAACAGGATAACCTGAGTCTTCATGGTAATTATGATACAAGAGCAACGATAAATAGAAACGTGTTTTATCTTTCATTTGTAGAAAGAAGAATGCCACCTCCTGTAATTTAGACTTGCAGTTGATACGTTTACGAATTACGATAAAATGAAGCCAAAAATATTGTGGTCACGAATGAAATCAAATGTTGGGTTGGTAAAAAAACAAGGTGAATTGATTTATTTATTGTTGCTGCTTCATAAAAATTACTTTACAGATGGGGAATAACTGAGATATTCAGAATTTGTTTAAATTATTGTACATGAGTATACGTGATAATTATATGTGTGGCTAACTATGATATGATATGACTCGAAGGACCAGCTCTCTCGGCTGAAATGATCAATTTCGCGAGCAACACCAAAATTGTCTATAATGGGTAGATCACCTTAATTAGTCGCAACGGATGACCAATTTTTCATCAAAAAAATGGGACACCAACAAGTCTTTAACGTTATCTTTAATAACTCTAATATTTGGTACTACTTATTATTTACAAAGTGTACAAGGAATTTGGTTGAAGGCAATAGGTCTGGCTATGCTCCTCCGTCCTGAGGATTTTAGTGGTAATAATGAACAAAATGGAACTTCACAAAATTCAGAGGCTAAAATAATACGTATGTTGAAAATAATTTGACTGCTTATTTAAACTAACTGTTACAGGAGTGGTTAGAAACATTGGGAACACATAGACCAAATAACCAAAAAGCAATTATTTTTCTGTTGTTAACTTTCTTAGATCTGGATCCCATGGATTTTAATACTCAATGTAAAGTATTTAAACTTGCTGTATATTCTGGATGTTCTTTCGCAAAAATAAACAAATCCTGAAGAGTAAAAAACTCATTTTTTTTTTGTTTTTGTCAAATATACGGTAGGTTAGATCTTTAAATTCCAAATTTGAATACCACTGCGATTTTTGTTTTGGTTTCCACTTTGCTTCTTGTAACGGTTCTCCAGATTGGTGTTGGGTTATAATTTTGTGGGCTTGACATCGGGAACACTATGAAAAGGATACGAATTAATGATAAGTTTACAGGGAAAGTCGGAAAGTTTATGCAGTGTTTGAATTTAATGAGGGACATTTAGTTGTATTGTGTAGGATATAAAGAGTGGGTATAAAACTTGAAAAGACAATGTTGTACTAAAAAGCGAGATATACACTTTCAACTTGAGGTAGTTAAAACTAAAAGTCCTTCGACAGACCACCGTGTTGTAATAACATGGAAAAAGTTCCGAATGTCGATACGTTACTCTCATAGTATAGTACTCTCTTTCCATGGTATAAGAATAACTACATACTGAAAAAATTTTGCAAGCTTGAATTCAAGTTCTCGGGACGATGCTTAGGGATAAGCAAGTTTCAATTCATTGTGGCAGTTGGCAAGTGCCATTTTCATCTGCTTATTTATCACAATATGCCGTGTTGGTACCATTTTTCAATGATATGGTTTAATAACAAACTGTGAGATATTTAAATAAAACTCTCTCATGCGTAATTGTCAAATTTTGACACATGCGCCGTTACCAATCTGTTCATGTGAAAAACACCATTGGCTGTAATGCCAACCTTACAATTTAACGAGTGGTTACAACCTTATGGATTTAACTGTAGAAAGTTTCCTATTACTTGATAGTACGATTTTTGTATTTTTCAAAGGATAATATTTTAAGATTACTTTTAAATGAGAGCTAAGTTTTGGTTTAGCCGTTTATAATATCATTTAAAATTGTTAATTAAATAATAATTGGCTGCTATAATAAAAGTTAGAGCTTAGCTGTTGACCAGTGAAATTAGCGAAAAAAGTGACAACAATTTTTCGTAATTTCCAGAAAATTTTTGTTTGAAACAGTTAAAAGACGATCTGACCCACCGGAAAATATGTAGTTGACTTATAGATAAAATATTTTTTGAGGATTTGTCTTCAAATAACTGAGAAATGCGAGGAAAGGACTCCAAAAAATTTCCAAAAAATTTGAAACCGTTCCAAATGGCTTTATTTCAGAGAAAAACATTGAGTTTCTGGTTTTATAGAATACTAATCGCAAATTTACCTTATGAAATACTAGCCCCGTCCACCCACTCACCCTCCATTTTCTTAAAGAGTATGTCATTTGCCAAATATTGTCTTATCTTAGCAAGTACTAGCCCCACCCACCCACCCTCTATTTTCTTAGGGATATGTTATTTACTAAAATCAGTTTTTTTGTTAGCAAATACTAGCCCCGCCCACCCGCCCTCTCTTACCTTGTAGGATATGTCATTTGCCACCGTTAGTCTTACCTTAGGAAGTACTAGCCCCGCCCACCCGCCCTCTGGTTTCTTGGAAGGTATGTGATTTGCCAAAATCAGTATTATCTTAGCAAGTACTATATTGTATATTGAAGTGGCAAAATAAATGATTAAACAATAATTAAATACTACTTGCTAAGATAATACTGATTTTGGCAAATGACATACCTTCCAAGAAAATAGAGGGTGGGTGGGCGGGGCTAGTATCTGCTAAGATAAAACTGATTTTCGCACTTTTGACATTTTCAACTATTTTTCAACTATTTCAGAAAATTAGTTGAAGACATTTTTTGTAATTTCCAAAAATTTTTTGTCTGTAACAGTTAAAAGACGATCTGATCCAGCGGAAAATAGTTGGCTTATAGATAATTTTTCGCAGATTACGAATCTAAAATATTTTTCACGATTTCTCTTCAAATAACTGAGAAATGCGAGAAAAGGAGTCCAAAAATTCCCAACATTTCCAAAAAATTCTAAAACCGTTCCAAATGGCTTTATTTGAGAGGAAAACATTGACTTTCTAGTTTTATAGAATACTAATCGCAAATTTACCTTATGAAATACTAGCCCCGCCCACCCACTCACCCTCCATTCTCTTAAAGAGTATGTCGTTTGCCAAAAATTGCCTTATTTAAGCAAGTATTAGCCCCACCCAGCCACCCTGTATTTTCTTAGGGATGTTTTTTACTGAAATCAGTTTTTTTCTTAGCAAATATTAGCCCCGCCCACACGCCCTCTCTTACCTTGTAGGATATGTCATTTGCCACCATTAGTCTTATCTTAGGAAGTACTAGCCCCGCCCACCCGCCCTCTAGTTTCTTGGAAGGTATGTGATTTGCCAAAATCAGTATTATCTTAGCAAGTACTATATTGTATATTGAAATGGAAAAATAAATGATTAAACAATAATTAAATAGTACTTGCTAAGATAATACTGATTTTGGCAAATCACATACCTTCCAAGAAAATAGAGGGTGGGCGGGCGGGGCTAGTATTTGATAAGATAAAACTGATTTTCGCACTTTTGACATTTTCAACTATTTCAGAACATTACTTGAAGACATTTTTTTGTAATTTCCAAAAATTTTTTGTCTGAAACAGTTAAAAGACGATCTGATCCAACGGAAAATAGTTGGCTTATAGATAATTTTTCGCAGATTACGAATCTAAAATATTTTTCACGATTTGTCTTCAAATAACTGAATCTAAATGTTACCCTTTTTAAAAAACTTTCTAATACCACCGTTTTTAAACTCTAAAAAGACATGTCAACAAATATGTAATCTGCTCCATCCTTCTTTGGACCAAAATCCATTATTTTGTTGCTTGGAACATAAATCAAGAGTTTGTGATATAATTATTCGAGCAACGGTGAAACCAGTTATTGATAATATTTGTTTGGAACAAACAGACTGTTTGAAGAAAATAACGATCTGTAACAAACCTACCAGCAGAAAAGTTTTAAAATTATGAATATGTACCTTCCTTTTTGTTAAATAATTTTCGTTTTGTAAAAATATATCTTTTATTTCAAAACTAAATAGTAGGAGTAATGTCATTAATGTTCTTGTGCCATTATCTACATTTTCAGAAAAACGTGATATTTTAAAATGTCATTTTGACAATTATTTGCCAACCAAGTTCATAATTGTACTCAACAGATGTCGTTGCCTGATTAACGATTTTGGAAACGTCAAAGAATCAACTTTTTATACGAATTGGGATGGCCATATGTATTAATACAGTTGGCCGTGATAGAACTGAACAATATTAAGAGTAGTCGTTGGAATAAAGAAGGGGTGGGTGGGCGGGGCTAGTGCTTTGCTTAGACAGAACTGAACAAAATTAAGAGTAGTAGAATTTTTTGAGAATTTTTAGAGGACTTTTTAAACAATGAAATTTTCCACTATTATACCCCCCTTATGCAAATTTCGACTACGAAATTTAACTAAATACATTGTCTGGTGGATTTCAGGCCGCAAAAGTCACTCCAGGCCTCATTTCTTGGATAACTCCAACGTTTTTTTTCCAAAATTGCTCATTGAAATATCGTAATTTTTAAAAATTTCAAAAAATTCGAATTTTACTTCGAATATTTCGAAAATGTTGCACCGTGACCCTAAACACGCAGCATTTTTGGAATTAGCACGTCGAGATCTATATTTCTGATTTTTTTTTAAATTTTTAGACGATTTTCAAATTTTCCTCCAAGAAAATAAAGGGTGGGTGGGCGGGCCTAAAACTTGCTAAGATAGAACTGAACAATATTAAGAGTAGTCGTTGGAATAAAGAGGGGGTGGGTGGGCGGGGCTAGTGCTTTGCCAACATAGAACTGAACAAAATTAAGAGTAGTAGAATTTTTTGAGAACTTTTAGAGGACTTTTTCAAAAATGAAATTTCCCACCATGAATGCCAATTTCGACCCATTTTCGACGTAATTATGACCTGACCTGATCTGACTTCAAAGTCCGAAATTATTGTCTATTATTACTGTCAAAATTGGAAAGCAATTGAAAACTAAAGCCTCAACGAAACAAAATTAAAAAGTGAATATTAATATTATTTATTAACACCTCTAGTTACAATAGAACGAAACCAGATTTATCATAATATCTCAATCAAATGAATAAACCTATCAACAACATAAGGGGCGACAATTCTTTATGTACAGAAACACAATAACATTAAATTAAAATTAGTGTGGAATGTATTTTGTTTATGTTGAGATGAGTGGATTTCCCTAGAAGCACAAACGTTATTTACTATGAAAATCAATCAAACACGAACTCTTACCCATTCTTTGGCCATTATTAACAACATGTGCTTATCCAATCTAGGACCGATTAAGGGATTCATCTGTGCTACATAGCAGCACAACCAGCTAACAATAATAATCATGTGATTTCTATTCAATGCCAATAATTACACAAAATACTTACAACAACCAACAAGTCACCCCCGTCAACATCAGAATTACTTGAATAATGCTGAAATTGTTACAATTATTTTAACTTAACTTTAGTTACACCCCCATAGCCTTACCCTCGATTAGGTCCTTTGGGCACAATTATCGGTAGAACAATACCAACCCCGCCCCACAACACAGTGAAAACGATGAAAGGCAGAGCCGACGCACCCATTTTTCGATTTTCGTTAAATAAACGCGAAAAATCGAACGACTTTGTTAAAGTGGCAAACCCCTTTGAGTATCACGGGATTACAAGGACCACAAACGTCAAAAGTCATATGATCGATATGACCAAGCACGCGTACCAATTTTATCACCAAATACCCCAAAAATCGTGCACGGTTTTTTGTCATGGTTTCAAAAACCTCCGCGCGGTTTTTCCACCGCCTTTCCACGATTTTCCAGCCCATTTCAGTGGTTCCGAAAAACGCGGAAGTCAAAAAAGTGGACATTACATCCCGAAGCCAACGAGTGAGTGCACCTAACCTATAAATTTTGTGATGTTTGGCTTGTAGTTGATGCTAGAACGAGGGATTATTAGGCAGGCCAGTCCCGGGTGTTTTCATTTGTTGCCACTGGGGGTGCGTTCGTTGGAAAAACTAACGGATTTGGTGGACACCGAAATGAGGAAAATAGGGGGGCAAAAAGTCGTTCTTCCGACTCTAACTAATTCAAAGTTGTGGGAAGTTTCAGGTAGATTGGAGACTGTGTCGTCTGAGCTTTTCAAAGTTAGGGATAGGCACAACCACGGGTATATTTTAAGTCCCGTAGGTAAATATTTTTGGAAAAGTTGGCCCTATTGTTGTGTGGATAATTGCAGACATGTGAAGAGGCTGTTAGTAGTTTGGTGGCATCTTTGGCCCCAATTTCGCATAAACAGTTGCCTTTGAGGCTATACCAAATCACTAGTAAATTCCGGGATGAAATAAAACCAAGGTTTGGGTTAATGAGGGGCAGGCAGTTTTTGATGAAAGATATGTACTGTTTTGATGTTGACTTAGCAAGTGCTTTAGTTAGCTATAAAGAAATATGTCACTGTTATGATCGTATTTTTGAAAAAATTGGGATTAATTTCGTCAAAGTTTTGGGTAGTTCAGGTCATATGGGTGGAAACTTATCCCATGAATATCACTATAAAGCTGACGTGGGTGAAGATAAAATTTTGTCATGTCCAAAATGTAACTATTTTGCCAATGTGGAAGTCTCAGGTGAACAAGAATGTCCAAAGTGTGGTAACACGTCTGTCGAAATTAGTTCTGGAATTGAAGTACTATGACTCAGTCCACTAGACTTTGCTTTATTTTTGTTGTTTTAAGGTTGGCCACACTTTCTTGCTTGGTGAAAAATACACCAAACCCCTCAATGCCACGTACTTATCTGGTGATGGAAAACCCACAGTGTTACAAATGGGGAGTTATGGATTAGGTTTGTCGCGCATTTTAGCGGCCGCACTTGAAGTATTGTCAAGCGACGACGAAATTCGGTGGCCCCCATTTTTAGCCCCCTACAAAGTCATCATTCTCCCACCAAAAGTACCCCCTTTAATTATTATTTCCCACTCTTATTTAATCTGTGTTTTTAGGGTGGAAGTAAGGAAGAAATTCATTTAAAAAACTCAAACTTAGTGCAGTCGCTTTACGCCAGACTTGAACAGGTCGATACTTTAAAAAACAACGTCATAATCGACGATAGAATTAATCTAACGATAGGTCGCCGGTTTCTGGAAGCCAAAAAAACCGGCTACCCTTACATCATAGCACTGGGGAAGAAAATCACCGAAAGTCCGTCTAAACTCGAAGTTACAAATTTACAAACCGACGAACAACTACATCTAGAGGAATCCGCTTTATTGGACTACGTTTCTCCAAAAGAAACTTGTGCAGTTGACAGGTTGGCTTTTTTGCGCTCTTCCACCCCCATTTGAGAGCTGCCACTTCTTTCCTTCGTTCCGCCGGCTTCATCTGCATCATCCGACCCGGACAAACGACTGGAAGCCGAATCCATCGTAACGCTGAGCACATCGTCAGGTTTTGTCCGCAACCCAGCGACGTATCTCCGCCAAGTCTTGCACTGTATGAACCTGGTTTTCCTCGACTGCTCCGTCTCGGTGTACTTCGGGGGATCCGCTGGCAACGTCTCGCCGACGTAGGCGCCGCTGTTTTTTATTTATTTAATTTTTACTTAATTCAATAAAATCACATACCTGAGGGTTTGCATTACGGGTAGTTTAAACGGCGGGATGTGGATTCGCTTACCCATCCCCTCTTTCGGCATCAGGATGGGGTTTAAGAAGTCGCGCGAAAGCCCCAGGATGCCGACTCCGATTTCTATTTCGAAGAGGAGTTCTTCGGGGGCGGTGTACGCTACTTCTAAGTAGGCTACGCGTTCCTCGACTCTGCGAAACTGGGTTAGTTTTGGTGGGGGGTAAAGCGAGTACGCACGGTTTGACTAGGAGCAGACCAATGGCAAGCATTTTGTAGCAGTGGTTGTCGAAAATGAGCTCCTGGATGGCGGGAGATCGGTGTTTTAATTTTTTTTCTGGAGTGTACGCTTTGCCGAGAAGAACGCGATCTTCTAACGCGTTAGTTTGGAACGTGGCCTGCCGCAAGCGACTCATTATATTGAACACTTCAGTGCGAAATATCCGATTAAGCTCGATTTCTACAAAATGGTGTCTCAAATTTTAGTGTAATTTGATCGTAATTTGATGGGCGGATCGTTTTTGCCTGCCCTCACCGAAGAAGGCGGTCCAAATCCTTCAAGGGCAGAATTTGTAGGTAGGCTCAAACTACAACGAAATTTACATTTGGTAAGAAATATTTATAGCTCACACCAGTTCTCTCGAATTTGTCGGAGAAGATTTAGCAGGTAGTTGTTCCCATAAAATAATGGTCACTTTCGTTCGTGAGTAACGATGGTCCGGACAGGAATTATTTTGCTTTCTAACATCTTTCGACCAGTTGTTCCGTATAAAAAATTTGATCACTTTTTCCAATAAAATACTCTTAAATGTTCATAATAAATAAATAAATAAAAAAAAAACGATATTGTCGAGTGTCCCCTCTAAAAAATTTATGACGTCACCTCAAAATTTTGCAGAATAAATCCTATCTTAAATGTATAAAATATGATGAGTTTTTATACTTGTGATTTATCACTGCATTAATATTTTTTAGATTTGGTTATACAGGGTGTCTCAAAAAAGTTAATGACTGAGTAAATTTATTTTATTGAAGAAATCAAGAATAGCAAAATTGAATACTTTGAAATATTGTAGATGTTTTGAAGTTTTTGTAAGCATGGTAACTTTTTCGAAAATTTGATTCATATGCGCAAAATCAAAAATCGGAAAAAATGAAATTCACAAATGCAAAAAACAGAAAATCGAAAAATACGAATCGTAAAAATCAAAAAAATAAAATGGCTAATTAAAAAATGGAAAATTCAATGAATCAAATACCTAGGTCGATCGAAAAGTGGAAATTCACAAACCTCAAAAATCGAAAATTGAAAAACGGGAAAACCAAAAAATCGAAAAGTAATATTGAAAATTAAAAAAATCAAAAACAAAAATAAAAAAATCGGAAATTAAAATAATCAAAATATATAAAGTAGAAAAAAATTGAAAAGCCTAAAAACTGAAACGAACAGAAAAATCGAAAAAGTGGAAAATCGAAAATCTGAATAAAGAAAATTGGAAAATCGAAAACCAAAAAATCGGGAAGTAACAAAATTGAAGTCTAACAGTTGAGAATAGAAAAATTGAAAAACCGAAAATTATAAAAATCGACAATGGACAAATTGAAAATCGCAAAATTTAAATTGAAAAATTGAACATGGAAAAATCGATGAATTGAAAAATCGAAAATTCGACTACTCAAATTTTCTAAAAATCGAAAAATCATAAAACTGAAAAATCCAAAATTCTAATGATCGAAAGTCTGAAAACTGAAAATCGAAAATTCTGAAAAGCGGAAAATAGAATATCGAAAAATTTAAAAGAAAGAAAATTGAAGTCTAAAAACCGACGAATGGAAAAATTAAAATCAAAAATTCGAAAAATCAAAACCAAAAAATTCAAAGATTTAAAAAGAAAATCGAAAAATCAAAAATCTGAAAATTGAAACTCGAAAATTTAGAAAATCGAAAAGTAAAAAAATTGAAGTCTAAAAGCTGAAAAATGGAAAACTGAACAATCGAAAATTCGAAAATCAAATATCGAAAAATCGAAAAGCCGAAAATCGAAAATTTGATAAATCAGATATGCGAAAAACAGAAAATCTGAAAATACAAAACTGGAAAATCAAAAATCCAAAAATGGAAAAACCGAAAATCGAAAATTCAATGAATCTAATACGTAGGTCGATCGAAAAACTGGAAATTCACAAATCTGAAAAATCGAAACTTTGCAAGATTGAAAAACCGAGAATTGAAAAATCAAAAATCGAAAAATAGGAAAACCGAAAATTCATAATATTGAAAACTCTAAAAGTCGACAATTCAAAAATCACAAAATGGGAAAGTAAAATAATCGAAAAATCGAAAAGTAAACAAATTGCAAAGCCTAAAAACTGACGAACAGAAAAATCGAAAAATCGTAAAATCTAAAATTGAAAAACGGGAAAACCAAAAAATCGAAAAGTAATATTGAAAATTAAAAAAATCAAAAACAAAAATAAAAAAATCGGAAATTAAAATAATCAATATATATGAAGTAGAAAAAATTGCAAAGCCTAAAAACTGAAACGAACAGAAAAATCGAAAAAGCAAAAAATTGGAAAAACAAAAATTCGAAAAATCTAAAATCGAAAAAATGGAAAATCGAAAATCTGAATAAAGAAACTTGGAAATTCTGAAAATTGGAAAATCGAAAATCAAAAAATCGGGAAGTAACAAAATTGAAGTCTAACAGCTGAGAATAGAAAAATTGAAAAACCGAAAATTATAAAAATCGACAATGGACAAATTGAAAATCGCAAAATTTAAATTGAAAAATTGAACATGGAAAAATCGATTAATTGAAAAATCGAAAATTCGACTACTCAAATTTTCTAAAAATCGAAAAATCATAAAACTGAAAAATCCAAAATTCTAATCGAAAGTCTGAAAACTGAAAATCGAAAATTCTGAAAAGCGGAAAATAGAATATCGAAAAATTTAAAAGAAAGAAAATTGAAAGAATGGAAAAATTAAAAATCAAAAATTCGAAAAATCAAAACCGAAAAATTCAAAGATTTAAAAAGAAAATCGAAAAATCAAAAATCTGAAAATTGAAACTTGAAAATTTGGAAAATCGAAAAGTAAAAAAATTGAAGTCTAAAAGCTGAAAAATGGAAAACTGAACAATCGAAAATTCGAAAATCAAATATCGAAAAATCGAAAATCGAAAATTTGATAAATCAGATATGCGAAAAACAGAAAAATCTGAAAATACAAAACTGGAAAATCAAAAATCCAAAAATGGAAAAACCGAAAATCGAAAATTCAATGAATCTAATATGTAGGTCGATCGAAAAACTGGAAATTCACAAATCTGAAAAATCGAAACTTTGCAAGATTGAAAAACCGAGAATTGAAAAATCAAAAAACCGAAAAATGGAAAAATCAAAAATCGAAAAATAGGAAAACCGAAAATTCATAATATTGAAAACTCTAAAAGTCGACAATTCAAAAATCAAAAAATTGGAAAGTAAAATAATCGAAAAATCGAAAAGTAAACAAATTGCAAAGCCTAAAAACTGACGAACAGAAAAATCGAAAAATCGTAAAATCAAAAAGTGGAAAATCGAAAACTGGAAATTGAAAAATCGAAGAATTGAAAATCGAAAATCGGAATATCGAGAATCGACAAATTAAAAAACCGAAAAATCGGAAATCGAAAAATGAAAAAAAAAACAAAATTCAAAAATCGAATAATCCAAAACTAAAATAATAGAAAAGTGGAAAAGTAAAAATTGCAAAGTCTCAAAACTGACGGAACAGAAAAATCGAAAAATCAAAAAAAATCGAAAAATATCTAAAAATGGAAAATCGGAAAATGGAAAAACCGAAAAATCGAAAAAAAAAAGGCCTAAAAATTGAAAAATCAAAAAATCGGAAAAATGAAAATCGAAAAAACGACGATCGAAAAAAAATAAAAAAATCGAAAAGTGGAAAATCGGAAAGTGACAAAATTGAAATCTAAAAGCTGAAGAAGGGAAAATTCTAAAAAGCAACAATCGAAAAAAGCAAAATTAAAAATTGAAAATTTGAAAAATGGAAAATCGAAAACTCGAATATTGAGATTTTGAAAAATCGTAAAAATGATAATCGAAAAATCGAAATGCTCAAAAATCGAAAATTCGATTAATCAATATTCTAAAAATCGAGAAAACGGACACAAATCCACAAATCTGAAAAATCGAAAATCGAAATATGAAAAATTGAAAAATCCCAAATCCAAAAATGGAAAAACCGAAAATTCAAAAATCAAACTATCGGAAAGTAAAATAATCGAAAAATGGAAAAATAAAACAAATTGCAGAACCATAAAAACTGAAACAAACAGAAAAATCTAAAAACCACAAAAGCGGAAAAACGAAAATCGAAAAATCGTAAAATCAGAAAATGGAAAATCGAATAATCGAAAGTTGAAAAATCGAAGGTCGAAAAATAAAACAACCGAAAAATGGAAAATTTAATGATTAATGGAAAATCGAAAAATCGAGAACAGAATAATTAAAAAACCGGAAAATTGAAAAATCGAGAATTCAAAAATCAAAAAAATCGGAAAGTAAAATATAATCGAAAAATGCAAAAAAATTGCGAAGTCTAAAAGCTGACAAACAGAAAAATCCAAAAATCTAAAAATGGAAACACGAAAAATCGAAAATTGAAAGAATGGCAAATCAAAAAATCGAAACATCGAAAAATCAAAAATCGAAAAATAGGAAAACCGAAAATTCATAATATTGAAAACTCTAAAAGTCGACAATTCAAAAATCAAAAAATTGGAAAGTAAGATAATCGAAAAATCGAAAAGTAAACAAATTGCAAAGCCTAAAAACTGACGAACAGAAAAATCGAAAAATCGTAAAATCAAAAAGTGGAAAATCGAAAACTGGAAATTGAAAAATCGAAGATTGGAAAATCGAAAAATCGAAAATCGGAATATCGAGAATCGACAAATTAAAAAACCGAAAAATCGGAAATCGAAAAATGAAAAAAACCAAAATTCAAAAATCGAATAATCCAAAACTAAAATAATAGAAAAGTGGAAAAGTAAAAATTGCAAAGTCTCAAAACTGACGGAACAGAAAAATCGAAAAATCAAAAAAAATCGAAAAATATCTAAAAATGGAAAATCGGAAAATGGAAAAACCGAAAAATCGAAAATCGAAAATTCGATGAAACAAATACTCGAAAAAGCGAAAAGTAAAAAAAATTGCCAGGCCTAAAAATTGAAAAATCAAAAAATCGGAAAAACGAAAATCGAAAAAACGACGATCGAAAAAAAATAAAAAAATCCAAAAGTGGAAAATCGGAAAGTGACAAAATTGAAATCTAAAAGCTGAAGAAGGGAAAATTCTAAAAAGCAACAATCGAAAAAAGCAAAATTAAAAATTGAAAATTTGAAAAATGGAAAATCGAAAACTCGAATATCGAGATTTTGAAAAATCGTAAAAATGATAATCGAAAAATCAAAATGC